GAAGTGGCGTTAGCTTCTTAGTGCTGGGCTTTACCCCGCTGCGCCACCAGGGAGGGCCCTAAAGTCATTTCTATAGAGTATGGGGTCTGTTTTTCTCACCCAGCTGGTATCCAGTGTTTTCTCGAAGGTTCTGTGCATTTTTCTTAGTTATAAGATGGCTTCATTCTGGGGCTTCTGAAATTGCACTGCCACTCAGCCACCCACTTGGACACTGCAGTTTAGAGCTGCAAACTAGTATTTTTCTCTGCTCCGTCCTGAGTGGCTCCGTCCTGAATTGGCTGCATCCCCGAACTTTCCTCTTGCTTCCCCTGTTTTCTGGTCAGCATTCTGGGAGTTTCTTCTGCTATATCTCTTCCATGCTAAGTACCCCTGGGGCTGCTTACTCCCTGGAAGTTTTGTTTTTCCAGCCACAGCTTTCATTTCCAGAATCTCTATTTGCTCGTTGGCTCTGATAACTTCAAGTTCTTGACTTAGACAGGGCTTCCCGGGTCTGGCTTATCCTCGGCATTTGATGATCAGGTAGATTAATTTTTATTTGGACATGGTCGGTCTGGAGTCCAGGAGGGGACGTGGGGTGTCCTGTTTGCAGGGCGTGTTCTGAGTGTGGGGTTCCCTGCCTCCAGGCGTCTGTAGCTCCCTGGGCCCCTGAAGCATTTCTGTGGCATAACCCCCGTCCTCCCCCAGCAGGCCGGCAGGGACAAGCCTGTTGCTGTTTGGTGCATGTGAGGGATGGAGCCAACCTGATGTTCTTTGAGTGCTTCATCCAGCAAGGAGCCAAAAATCTGTCCCAAGACTGCACCACCTGCCCCTCTGGTCCTGACTCCCTCTGCGACCCTCCCCTTTCCCATGCAGGCTTGCGCCTATGACTTGCGCCACCAGGCTGCCCTTATCTAGTCGGTCCCTTGGGGTTCGTGGTGTTCCGGAGCCGTCGATGAGTGGCATGCGCCCCCTTGCCCCAAATGCTGCCATCTCTTCCCACCTCTGGGGGTTTGGACAGAAGGGTGGGGGGCAGCCGTGTGCCAGGGCTACTTTCCCAGCCAGATCTCTGCAGTCATCTTAGTAGAGGGAGCCCCTAAACCTTGGACTCCTCCTTGTGTGTTTGAAGGCGACAAACCGCACAAGTGTGAGTTCTGTGACAAGTGCTTCAGCCGGAAGGACAACCTGACAATGCACATGAGGTGCCACACCAGCGTGAAGCCCCACAAGTGCCATCTGTGTGACTACGCGGCCGTGGACAGCAGCAGCCTCAAGAAGCACCTGCGGATCCACTCGGACGAGCGGCCGTACAAGTGCCAGCTCTGCCCCTACGCCAGCCGCAACTCCAGCCAGCTCACCGTGCACCTGCGCTCCCACACAGGTGAGCCCGGGCCGCCCGGGCCCTCCCTCGTGTTCTGTACGCCCTTCGCCGACTTACAAGCACACGCAGCCCTGGTGGGTGAGTCGGGGCCTCTGCCTGTGGTGGCACAGGGCGGCCGGGGCTGCCTCTGCTCGGGACGGTGGCTCTCTGTACGAAGGGAAAGGCCGACAGCTGGTTTTCTGACTTGACTGCGTAGACCCCAGGTGGGGGGAGTCCCCACGACTTCTCGAGTAAAGTGTGCTGCGTGACTAGGTGTTTGGTCATTTAACATGAACCGTGACTGCATGGCCCATTGGGAGGCCCAGGGCAAAGCCGGCAGAACGTGGTTGCAAGTCAAGACCGTTCGTGCCAGTGCTAGCTGTTAGCTTGGCCAAGAGCTTTTTGCTTCCCTGTTTGCAAGAAATAACGATAGAACCAGCCCAGTGTGGCACAGATAAGGGGGGCTGGGAGGCTCACGAGGACTCAAAATGAGAATTCCTCGTTTCACCGAGTAGATGGCAAAGAACGGGGCATTTCCTGACATTCGAGACTGAGGAAGAGAGCTGTGCTGCAGAGACACAGGGCAGGCGAGTGTAGTCGGGAGCACCCGTGGAGTTCAAGTGAAAAGCTCAAGTCTCTTGGCAAAGCAGCTCAAGCCTAACCCAGCGCCAGGTGAAGTCCACGGCAATGGTGTTTAACCCTCAAACCCATCGGCTCTTCCTACAGTACTGAGTTTTGATCAATAGCCACTTGGGAATGGTGGTAGAGAGATGGACGTCTAACAGCACGTCCTGGAGTTAGAGTACTTGCTGATAGGTCAGAAACGAGCTGTGCTTTTTGGGATTTACCCGCTGGCAAAGATGCCACATCCCCCAGAGAGGTCTTCGGAACGGCAGTCAGGACAAAGGTGCAAATGAAAGCTGGTGTCGCTGCCTGTAAAGTTAGTTTCCCAAAGGTCAGGTGCAAAAATTCAGCAGAAGAACTGAGACTAAGAAGCCGAAGTCTGGTTTCTGACTAAGGCTACGAGGAAGAGAGAGTAAAAATGAGAAAATCGCATAGGAAAGGAATGTCCCAGGTCGAAGGGGCCAGGAGAGGGACAGGACTGGAGAGGCAAAGCAGGGGGGCATCACACTTCAAAGCCTGTCAGCGCGCCGGCTTCCTGGGGTGGGGGGGAGGCTACTGGAACAGAAGCCTCTCAGCTGCAAATGATTGAACGTCAAATCCCATACCCAGCCAGACTAACTCAAGTCCAAAAGTAGAACAGACCAAGACAGACAAGGACAAGAGTTACTCTCAGCTAGCACTTTCATGGAAGTTACTGGAAGATAAATTGTAGCAAACAACACTTAGTGAAAACAAAATCTGGCATGAGATATGTGGTGTGTGAGAATTCCAATAGAGCCAACTGGGATGGCGGTGAAGAAAAATACCAGGGTGGTGCTTGGATAGAAGGTTGAGGGGGAAAGTCAGTCAGAAGCGCCATGTCAAGGTCCCTGTACTGAGAGACTGACTAACTGGAAGTTAGGGGAGACTTTTCCTCAAGAACCACAATTCAAAAACCATGATAAAAGGTGACCCAAGATGAGCATGTGACAGAAGACTCTTGATTTGATCTTGATGCCAGCACCAGGCAGCATCTACGGAGCGGGGGGGTGGGGGGGGGGCCTGTGATCCCGTTGCGGTACCTGGTGCCAATGAAGGTCACACATCTCGTCACCATACGCACTGTCTGAGTCTAAAGTTGAAAACACGGGGGTCCGAATCTAACTGCTATTGAACCTAAATGTGAAAATAAAGCTCTCTGACAAGGGGGGCGGTGAAGCAGGACCAGGCACAGCTAAAACGCGCCAGTTGACTGCCAAAGCAGTGAGAGGAGCTCCCCCGGTTAGGAGAACGCGCCTGAAGCGCTGACACACAGCAACCTCCAGGGGCAGAGCATGGAGGTGTGGGTGGGGTTCTCATCTCGGCTTGTGGTCCACAGACGTTTCGTATAGCAGTAGCTCCCCAAAGAATGACAGCCCCTTTGTAGTTTGAGAGCTGGAAGTGTCTCCAGGATTCCCAGGAGGCAGCGGCTTCCTTATCTGTTCCCCGCCGCCATGTTTTCATGGCTTGGAGCAGTTGTGTGTAACCTGAATCACACCTCTTCCCTTCCCTGTTCAGTTTTGGGCTGTCAAGAGTTCCCGTCCAAACCTGAAATGGGCCCAAACCCCTCACTTACCTTTGAGCCTCAGTTAGGCCATCTGTAAAATGGGTCGTGCCCACCAGGTCTGGGAGCGCCGACTCGGATACACCTAGCCCCGGCTGTTGGGAGGACGTGGGTAAGGAGTGGAAGAGACCCGGCCATCTCGCCCACCCCGTGTTCTGGTCTGTTGGGGGATGGGGTCTGTTTTGCCGCCTGCTCTAATGGAAACGCACCTTCCGTTGCTAGGGGACACCCCCTTCCAGTGCTGGCTCTGTAGCGCCAAGTTCAAAATCAGCTCGGACTTGAAACGGCACATGATCGTGCACTCGGGGGAGAAGCCCTTCAAGTGCGACTTCTGTGACGTGCGCTGCACCATGAAGGCGAACCTCAAGTCGCACATCCGCATCAAGCACACCTTCAGGTGCCTGCACTGCAGCTTCCAGGGCCAGGACCGCGCCGACCTGCTGCAGCACAGCCGGCTGCACCAGGCCGACCACCCCGAGAAGTGCCCGGAGTGCAGCTACTCGTGCGCCAGCAAGGCGGCCCTGCGCGTGCACAGCCGCGTGCACTGCAAGGACCGCCCCTTCAAGTGCGACTTCTGCAGCTTCGACACCAAGCGGCCCAGCAGCCTGGCCAAGCACATGGACAGGGTGCACAGGGACGGGGCCAAGACGGAGAACCGGGCTCCGCAGGGCAGAGACGGGGCCCGGGAGGGTGGCTCCCCGCACGTGGCCAAAATAGTGACCCAGCGGGCCTTCCGCTGTGAGATCTGCGGCGCCTCCTTCGTCAGGGACGACTCTCTGCGCTGCCATAAGAAGCAGCACAGTGACCAGAACGAGAGCAAGAACTCGGACCTGGTCACTTTCCCCCCTGAAAGCAGCGCCCCGGGGCAGCTGGGCGCTCTGGTCTCGGTGGGTCAGCTGGAGGCGGCCCTGGAGGCCAGCCAGTGCCTCTAGCCCAGCCCCTCTGGGGGGGGCTGTGCCCCCTGCAGCCTCCGGAGGTGGCGTCTGCAGCCACAGGGCACCAGGACAGCCGTCCCCGCGGTGACAGAGTCCCCCAATTTGACTTGGTCGGGTAAGGGGGACGGGGTGACCTTGGAGTGCCCGTTTCTCTAGAAAGGATGGCTCCCTGTGGATTCCATCCATTTCCGAAAGCGCTCCATCTCCGATGGAACGATTAAACCACGTGGGAAGCCGCCGCCAAACTGACCTGGACACTGATCGGGATGAGCCAGACACAGATGAGCGCCCGGCGCGGAGGGCCTCGGGCGCGGACAGGGGCTGTTGCTAACCCGGTGGTGGGAAGGGCGTTTGTCTTACACATTTTTGTGTGGTTCCCTTTATCTCTTGTCTTATAATAAAAGGCACACTGGCTTGTAGAGTGCCGTAAGAGGAGCGCTCCAGAGGTCACCTGTGCGCCTCGCCATCTGCGCAGAGATTCAGGCCTAAGGGCCCCCGGGGTTTGCAGCGTTGGCGCTGCGCGGTTAGACCTGTAGGTGGCGCCAAAGATCAAGCGAGCGCCAGCTCAGCCCGCCCCAGGCGGGACCAGGTCTGGTGGCAGGTGGTTGAGGGAGACCAGCGCCTTCACCCCCACTAAGAACTGGTGTTTGCTGAACCAACGAGCAAATGAGAGCCCACAATGCTTGTGAATGTACATTTTACTTGATTGGGACTTAGGCGATGGCATGCCGCGGGGATATAATTTCTCCCAGGTGGCTTTGTGGTACTCTGGCATCTTTTCTTCAAATACATCCTTTGTTGAATACAGATCTGTGTGTGCTCTCACCACGCTCTAAGCATCTGTGTTTTTCAAAATGGATTAAGGAGAGCCGTTGTTTTGGTACACTAAGTAAAAGAAGTGAAGTTGTTTGTAGATCATTTACAGGGAGTATTTCATTCATGAAATAGCCAGAGACACTTAGCTTAAAACATGTATTTTTTTGTGTGAACAAATTTGACTCCATTTAATGTTGAGCTCCAGCGGGTGATAACACTGTCGGATCTCTCTTGGAAGAAGACAAGGTGAAAATGGAGCAGAAACACAGGATGGAATTAGTTGTAGCTTTGCAAGTAGCACTCTTTTTTTAATACTATAATAGTTTATTTTTACATCATTTTGCGCCTTTTTCCATCTCAGCTGTAATCCCCGTAGGCTTCCCATCACCAGCTCACCTGTGCGCCATCACCATAATCCCGTGCACTTCCCTCTCCCACCATTTTTGATCCCATTCTCTGCTCTACCCCTGTGAAATGTCTCTGGCACATAGTTGCTCGTTATTATTTTCTCCCCTAGTCCTTTACACTCCTGCTATGAGTGAAACCATCCTGTATTTTCCTTTTCTTTCTGGCTTATTTCACTAAGCAGGATCCCTTCCAGCTCCATCCATGTTGCTGCAAAAAGCATGTATTTAAAGTTTGTTTGTTTAAATTGCTGAGTAATATTCCACTGTGGATATGTACCACATCTTTTTAATCTAGTCATCTGCAAGTAGCACTTTTTTAAGATTTATTTTTATTTGATACATACAAGAACTGGGGTGCAGGTGTCTGGGGTAAGAAGATTCACCAGAGACAGAATGGGGAGCAAAACAGGTGGATTTACTGAGATATACTAAAGCACTGGGTAAGACAGGAGAGGTCTGCTGTGCCCTGTGGGTCACCTCCCTGGCCAGGGACCGAATTTGTGCTGCAGTGGCTGGTGATAGCTTCATAGTGCTGTATCTTGAACCCCTGTGCCTCCAGGGAGCAAAACTGTGTTCTTTTGATCACCTCCAAGTCCAGAAATCAAAGTGGCATCCTTCCTCTCTGTGTTTGTTTCCTCGCTTTCTAAGCATTACAGAGTGTGGATCTGTTCCTGCAGTTTCTTCTCTAAAGTGCCCATGACCGTGGCAAAGAGCTCCCCTCCCCACTGCCCTGTGTTAAGGGGTCCCCCTGTGTGCACTCCCTCCTGGGTGCTGCTGAGGGCTGGGATTAGGGTGCAGCAACAAGCCCCTTGGCTTTTGTTGATTAGCTTTGGCCAGTGGGAGCTCTTAGAAGCTGACCCGGAAATTCAGCCAGGGCTGTGGGAGAGGCAGGCTGCATCTTCCATGTAGAATTCTCACATTTCCTTCATTACAGTAGGTTTGGGAGAAATTATATTAAAATATTTGCCTTAAAAAAAAATATTTGCCTGGCAGGGTAAGATTTGGGTGGAGGGATTATGCCTCCGTGTCCCTGCCTCTTGCTCAAAGGTGCAAAGAAAGCTTGAAGGTGCAGACACCTTCTAGGGCGGAGTTTGCACCGGAGCGGCTGAGACGGCAGTGCTTGCCCCGGGCACACAGGCAGTGAGTGGTGGGTTCAAACCCAGACACCCCGACCCGAGACCCTGCAATTTCACCCCAAGTCCTGCGCGGTCCCTTCCCTAGCTGCCATGACATTGGGGACATGGCTTTTAAGTGTCCCGTGTACCGCTCAGCAGGAAACTAACATGTGAAATGCACCATCGACACCTGAGCACACAGCAGACCTGAGCGGGCCGTCGTCATCGCTGCTGGGCCGCGCTTCATCCATCTAGACCTGTTTCAAACCCACCTCTTCATCCTGCCCCAGCGGATTTCCCGCCTCCTTCCCAGGGTGGCTGGACCTATCTGCCAGGGCGTGGGGTCTGGTTTGCTGCCTCTGCGCATCCCTGGCCCTGGCAGGGAGGCAGCTGCCCCTGCAGCCTGTGGTTTGAGGTGACCACCCTCCAGTGCCGGGCCTGGGAGTAGGCGGTGGGGGTGAGCGTCTGGCAGGTGAGCCTCGCCAGGTGTTCAAGGAGCTCTGACCTCAGGAACTGTGGACATGTCAAGGTGACACCATCCAGATGTTGCAGCGCCTGGGGAGTCGGGGTCCCTCAAGACCCCCCAGGGAAGGAGCAGCCCCCTCTCGTGCGGCTAGAGCGCTGGCTGCATCCTCACTTGCTAAGGTCAGCGGCCTCGGTAACCTGGTCCTCAGGACCCAGAGGCTGGGTGGGAAGTCTGCTTTGAACTCTCATTTGTCGTATGACTTGGTCTGTCAAAAACTGTGCCTGTTTTTTTTTTTGTTTTGTTTTGTTTTGATTGCCTTTGGAAATTATTTTTTCTATCTGGATGTTTCATTGGTAAATGACTTAGGGAAGTGCGTTCAAGCCTTCTGACTTTTTTTAACCTATCAGTTGGGCTGGTCCGATGTCCTGCACCATGGGGTGGGGATGAAGCCGGAGTCATGAGAAGCTGGAACAGGGTCTGGCACATTCGCTGCTGCTCAGCAGCTGGCTGATTGCCATGCGTGTTTCTCAGCGGGTCTCTCCCGCCAGCATTTCTCAGTCACCTGTCTCCTACTGCAATGTACAGTGGTTTCCCTCACCCCCAAGTCCCATGTGACTTTGGAATGAAGCATGACATCATACTTGCATAACTGACATAGTGGCTTGACTTTATGAGAAATAATTTCTGACGCTCATGCTGCATTAGGACAAATGAGACCATCAAGAGCCTTCTCATCTCTTCGCCATGTGAAAAGTGCTTGGACTTGGATCATAAATGGGCGAGCTAGGAAGAAGGGGACACAGTAGAGATCATCTATTCATTTTATACACAGTTTAATTCCACTGTCAGAAGATAGTGAATTCTTAGTCCCCACTGGGAAGAATCTGATTCAAGGACATTTGAGTGGGAGCCAACACAAGATGGATCATGTCGCAGCCAGCAGTTCTGTTTGTAGGAATTTCCCCCATGAAATTAAATATGTGAGAGTAGCGGAAGGACATGGGGAGTGGGGTTATCCAGGAGCGCAGTTAGCACCTGCCACTTCCACGAGGCGGGACAGGCCTGGCCAGAGGACGCCACACAGCTCTAAGGAGGGGGTGACCCTTGCATCTTGCCACACGCGTCGTCCAGAGGCCGTCATGAAGGGAAGAACAGCAGGTGGCCGGCGCACACATGTGCCGTGTGTGGACACCGCCCCCAGGGACACGGGGTAGCTGATGGGCTCTGTGGTGAGTGCACTTAACGCCACTTCCCAGAACCTAGCCACAGGATGGAGAACTTTCTATGTTAACAGGTGAGTCGCCATCACTCTCTCGTGGCCATTTAAGTTTCGTCTAATTTTCATCATTAAAACCTGCTGCAGGGCCTCCCTGTTGGTGCAGAGGTTAAGTCTCAGCGCTATCAAGGTATCTGCAGCCACTGCAGCACAAGTTCGATCCCTGCCAGGGAGGGACCCACAGGGCGCAGCAGACCTCTCCTGTCTCCCTGCTGTTCCCCTCAGCAGTGGATTTCAGTGGATCTGTCTGTTCTGCTCCCCACTCTTGAGTCTGGAGAATCTTCTCACCACCACCCCCACCTCTGGCCTACACCCCAGGTCTTCTATGCATAAATAAATAAATCTTTTTAAAAAACAAAGCCATCAAGGCTCCTGAGTGTCCAGGGGCCAGGTGTCAACATGCAGACCTAAATCCCTGCATCCGACAGCACGGTCAGTGCTGTATAGATAAAATTTCTCCTTATTAGCTCACAGAAACAGAAAAAGCAAAGTCATTTAAAAGTCTGGACTTTTTGCCCCAAGAACTTTAGAACTTTATTCCATTGGTTTACTTAAGATTGAATGTGGATATAAATCAGGGCCCAGCAAAGCCGTAAATTCTAATTGAACTGTGATGTTCAAATGACCAGAAACTGCAGCACCGTAGATTTTGGGTGATAACTGGGCTTGAAAATCGCCTGGATCGCAGGCAGGGAACCATTTCCAATCGATTATCCTTCATCACTAAAAGCCTTCAGGCTGTTTCCATCCCTGTCCTTGTGACTCTTGAGAGCAGAACAAAGCAGTGGTCAGGGAAAGGGCTGGTGTGGCACCACCACAGATAAATGCAAGGCTTCTCCGAGCTCCAGCTCACAGCCTAAGGGGTGGAAATTTGCAGCAGCTGACAAAACCCAGTGGGAAAGGGAGTGAGAGCCTGGGGTGTGCCGGGCCACCCCCACACACTGATTCCTCAAATCGACATATTTAAAGGGCAGGAAGCAGAAGTGCTTTACGAGGCTCGGCAAGGGCTGCTCATCCTGCTCTCATTTCCAGCCCCATCTAATTATTTGGGGAAAGGTTCAGGACTGCTACAAAGCAGCTCAGTGTAAGAACAGCTAAAAGATCGTTCTGGGGCTGGGAACCTGGGGAGACCCCCACATGGGGCCTCATCCTGCCATTCTTCCCTCCTTCAAAGCCCCTCAATAAAATAGTTTGACGCCCCCAAATAAAAGGATCCGAACCCCTATGAAAAGGATCCGTGAAAGGTGTGTTAGAGAAAGGGCCTGGGGTCACGAAGGGCATTCCAGGCTGGCTGGCTTAGTTTCTTAAAGATTTATTTATTTATGCACACAAAAC